GAATGGGGTAATGATTCCAGCCCCTTCCCACTGAGGGAAACGCTGCAGGAGCAGCCCCACATTGGGGAAGGTGAAGAGTTGTCTTGCTGGGGATGGGATGGGATGAGCAGGGAAGCAGCAGGAGCTGGGAGCATCCAGGATCTCCTGGGAGCAGCTCCAGGCTGAGCTCCTTCGCCTCCAAACCCCGATCCTGGAGCAGTCGCCCGATCCTGGTGCTCCCATGGAATGGGGGAATGATTCCAGCCCCTTCCCACTGAGGGAAACACTGTAGGAGCAGTCCCACATTGGGGAAGGTGAAGAGCTGTCCTGCTGGGGATGGGATGGGATGAGCAGGGAAGCAGGAGGAGCTGGGAGCAGCCAGGCTCTCCTGGGAGCAGCTCCAGGCTGAGCTCCTTCGCTTCCAAACCCCGATCCTGGAGCAGTCGCCCGATCCTGGTGCTCCCATGGAATGGGGGAATGATTCCAGCCCCTTCCCACTGAGGGAAACGCTGCAGGAGCAGCCCCACATTGGGGAAGGTGAAGAGCTGTCCTGCTGGGGATGGGATGGGATGAGCAGGGAAGCAGGAGGAGCTGGGAGCAGCCAGGCTCTCCTGGGAGCAGCTCCAGGCTGAGCTCCTTTGCCTCCAAACCCTGATCCTGGAGCACCTGATCCTGGCACTCCCACCTCTGCTCCAGGGGGTGATGGGGGAATGATTCCAGCCCCTTCCCACTGAGGGAAACACCCCAGGCCGTGCCCCACATTTGGGAAGGTGAAGAGCTGTCCTGCTGCTTCCAGCTCCTCAGGAGCTCCAGGGATCTCTGGAGATCAGGAATGTGGGCTCTGGGCGTTGCATTCCCGGGCTCTGAGGGCAGGGATGTTTTATCCTCATGGAATTGGGGGATGGAGGAGCACTGAGGCAGCAGTTGGGGGTTATGTTACCTGGGGCACCACTGGGAGTGAAAATTCACTCGAGAGAGCTGCCTTGGGAATGAGGGGTTGGGACAGATCCCATTCCAGAGCCTGGCTGTGCTTTGCATGGATCTGCACTCCAGAGTTCTGTGTCCCCCAGTGAGGCACCAAAGGGCTTTCCCGGGATGCTGAGGCCTGGAGGGGGGGATTGCTCAGGGCTTGGAGCCCAAACTGGGAGCTCCCAGCACAAGGAACCGGATTCAGCAGGGCCAGAAGGTGTTTTGGGATGTTTTGGGAACCATTCCAACCAGCCCTTGGATCCCACCTTGCCAGAGCACCAAAAGCCAGGAGAGTCCAGAGAGGAGGAGGAGGAGGGGGGGGAAAAATCCCCCCCTGGAGGTGGGATTTACCTGGATCTCCTTCAGGTCTTTGTCACAGAGGTTCTGCAGGGGATCAATAAAGTTCTGTTTGACTTCGATGTCCAGGGAATCCTTCACCTCAGCCAGGCGCTTCATGGACTCACCCGCGTCCAGCAGAGCGTCGCCTTCCCGGGAAAACAGGGAAACAGGGAACACAGGGAGGGAGAGGAAGGAGGGAGGGAGAGGAAGGAGGGAGGGAGAGGAAGTAAGGGAGGGAGAGGAAAGAGAGATGGGAGAGGAAGGAGGGAAGGGAGAGGAAGGAGAGAAGGGAGAGGAAGAGGGATGGGAGAGGAAGGAGGGAGGGAGAGAAAGGAGGGAAGGGAGAAGGAGGGAAGGGAGAGGAAAGAGGGATGGGAGAGGAAGGAGAGAAGGAAGAGGAGGGTAGGAGGGAGAGGAAGGAAGGGAGGGAGAGGAAGGAGGGAGGGAGAGGAAGGAGGGAGGGAGAGGAAGGAGGGAGGGAGAGGAAGTAAGG